ACTGTAATAAGTTGTGAATTCTTTAGGTTTATTTGCCGTGTTTCAGGTTTCACGTTGTTACGGGAAGAGCCAAGAGCGCATCCACGAGTTACACATCTGACTAGCGCATAACTTAGTTCAAGATAACTTGTGCATTTCCATCTTTTTGTGTATATATAAGTTGTAATATTATGTTTATGTTCTATAAATATCTGATTCTCATATAGCCTAATTAACCTGCTAACAAAGTGCTTCAGTTTACCGGTGTTCATTCAGCTCTTCAGCTACAGCACACGCAGTTCAAACAGCATTGCTGCTATTTAAAACAGTGGCATTAATTTGCTACTTTATCAAAATCATTGATGCACTATTAATAATAACCACCACTTTTATTTTTTCTCTTATTTTCATCAACAGTATGGTTTAGTAATTAAAATAATTTCACTATTGTCTGTGCAGAGGCTATTCCAATTTATTGATCCATGGCACATGCATTTTGATTCTTTACATGTAAGTAATGATTTCCAATGACTTGTTTGCATTATTTATGCATTTTATTTATTTGTAAGACTTTTCATATGAGGAAATTTGGTAACAGGAGAGTAAAATTATTTTTAAAAACACACTGGTCAAACTAGGCTGCTTATGTTGAAGTGTGGCTTTTAATGATGATACCTTTTTGTAGTTAGGCTTTCAAAAATTAGATAAACTGGATTTAGATTTATCGGCCAACATATCAGTTATCGGCTTTCAAAAAGAAAGAATTATCAGTTATCGTATTGGCCAAAATTTTTCATATCGGTGCATCCCTAATATTTTTTTATGAAATTTGAGAGCTTTCTGACCCTGCATAGACAGCAAGAGAACTACCACATTCAAGGCCCAGAAATGTAGTAAGGACATCGATAAAACAGTCCATGTGACATCAGTGGTTCAACCGTAATTTTATCAAGCTACGAGAATTATTTTTGTGTGCAAAGAAAACAAAAATAACAACTTTATTCAACAAATTCTTCCCTTCCGTGTCAGTCTTCGACGCGCGTTTATGACAGTACCACGATGCATGCGTGTGCATTCCTCTTGCTTGTAAACAAGGTGCAGTGCATCCGGGTGCCGATTCACACACCCGATTCACATCATTTTAAAATGAAAATGCACTAGTGTAAATGTGGCTTTATATCTATTGGGTTTGGGATGCTTACTCACTACAGCCTCACGTGTGAGTCATGTCTCTGGGCATGACTGACATAAACTTGTGTTTTTCCGTGATGCCTCACCAGAGCAATTACCAGTACTTGATTTAGGTACATCAAACATGCTGCATGCTTATTGGCTCACTGACATTGATGAGATTAACCCCTTAGGTATAGAAATTTGGTACTGAACAACAAGCCATTTTTTGATACTTGATAGTAGCGAGGCAATTTGGTCAGTGCCTAAAAAGTATCAAACTTTATACCCAACTCTAGCATTGAATCAATGTCATTGATCTCTATGGGTGAAACATCAGCTTCAGCGTTACCCTTCTAATGCATAGCTCATCGATTGAGGCTTGTGAAGTGGAGCTCAGGGCTGTGGCAGATGTGGTTGCCAGAACTTCACAATAAAAAATATGGTTGCAACGTTACCGTACCTGTTACCTAGATGAAATAAATGTACAGTAAAAACCTGTATTTCATTAACTGGTGTAATGTTAAAGGTTTAGTTCACCCTCAAGGCATCCTAGGTGTATATGACTTTCTTTCAGACGAGAGCCGTTTTAGGTAGGTGTGGCTGACTCAACTTTTATAAAGAATATCTCTTTGGATTTGAGACTTCAGTCTTTGCAACTTTACAGATCTTCTTTATGCACCAAGAGCTTGTAACACTCCAAAGAGAAAGGAAAAATTGAAATCGCATCATATGACTCTTTTAAAACGTTATAAACACTTCTCTAACTTCCGCTAACTGTCACATAAGCCGTTCCAGGCGGATGACGTATGCGTATCGCACACTCCTGTGATATGCTAGTCTCGTGAGTTTGTTTACAGGAGCAAAGGGAAGCAAAGTTTCCTTACTTTAGCAAAGGAAAACCAGTCTCCTCTTGGCTTAAATCGAAATCCTCTGACATTTTTCTTTACAAATCTTTGTTTTGTGATTCTGATTCGTGAACGGCATTTTGTTTTGTTTTCTCTCCTCTGTGCTTCCGCATTCGTCACTAATCACCGCCACATGTGCTACACCTATGTACTATGTCATCCGCCCGGAAAGGCTTCGGCATATGACAGTTAGCAGAAGTGAGAGAAAAGTGTTTAGAATGTTATAAATATGGATATTTTTCTTACAAAAATGCATCGATTTGCTCCAGGAGGCCTTTATTCACCCCCGGAGCCATGTGAGGCATGTTTTATTATGGATGGATGTGCTTTATTTGACTTCTTTTGAACTGTTGAAAAAAAATATAAAAATCACCCGCCCACTGCCATTATAAAGCTTGGAAGGACAATTTTTAATATAACTCTGATTGGATTCGTCTGAAAAAAGAAAGTCATATACACCTAGGATGCATTGAGCGGGAGTAAAACATGGGCCAATTGTAATTTTTGGGTGAACTAACCCTTTAATAATACCAACCTCCTGAAGAACTAAAATCTGATTTTGTACCTTTATAATATACTGACAACTACCAAGGTGGTAATGAGAAAGCAACATGATGAATCACAGCTCACCAAAAGTAGCTTTTCCAAAGCTGAAGTAAATGCTAAAAAAATATAAGACCACACAAATACTAAACACCATGATGGTAACATACATAAAATAATGCAGCTAACTCTTAAGTCAATACCATAAGATGTCATTTAAAAAAAGAAACATTGTTTTTAAATGCAAAACCATCAAATGTGACGTGCCATACAGGGAATTATGGGAATGTCAATTCACGATTTTCACTGTAAATTATAAGATGACTTGCTCTTAACTTCTAAAATCTGTCAATTTTAGAGTAAAATCCTGTTAGATTCATTACAGTTTTCATTGTATATAGTAAGAGAACTTATCATTAACCAGTTAACAGTTTTGTACCATAGCATTTTTACTGTCTTGCACCATTAAAATGTTGACCATTTTTACAGTGCACTGCAAAAGATATTCCTTCTGTAAAGGAGCAATGATATAAAAGTAGGTGTTGATCAGTATCTGTGCAGGAAGTCTTGTGCTGATGTATTATTACATTATTAAAAATGTGGAAGTAGAAAATGAGATGAAAAAGTCATTTTGCATGCTTGGTTTCAATGAAAGCTGTTTTTGGAGCAATGAAGTTTTGAGATCTAAAACATACAGAATTTCTCTCATTTTCTCATGTATAACAACACCACAATGCATTGATCAAACAGAACTATTTTGATAACATTTGAAATAATTCCACATAGGAAAGGGCATTTGCAAGGCTTGTTGAATGTTTTACTGCAAAAGATTTGGCACCATGCCTTTGATAAAATACTGAGATGCACTGATGCATCAAGAACAAAGTAAATTGTAAGGTGAATTCCACATTTAGCAATTAGGCATCAGGGGATTCATGATTTTCTTCAAGGCAGTTTCTGAATTTCAAATCACCTTACCAGGAAAACTATAACAGGACACAAAACATCTGTACTCAAGAAGCTACATTAAAGCAGCACAACACCACAATGCAGGTAATAGTAAACAATCAGTTTTAAGAAAATTAAATGTTAGGGTAACATTTAATTTTCTTAAAACTGATTGTTTACTATTACCTGCATTGTGGTGTTGTGCTGCTTTAATGTAGCTTCTTGAGTACAGATGTTTTGTGTCCTGTTATAGTTTTCCTGGTAAGGTGATTTGAAATTCAGAAACTGCCTTGAAGAAAATCATGAATCCCCTGATGCCTAATTGCTAAATGTGGAATTCACCTTACAATTTACTTTGTTCTTGATGCATCAGTGCATCTCAGTATTTTATCAAAGGCATGGTGCCAAATCTTTTGCAGTAAAACATTCAACAAGCCTTGCAAATGCCCTTTCCTATGTGGAATTATTTCAAATGTTATCAAAATAGTTCTGTTTGATCAAATTTGCTCTTGTTTTTATTTCTGACATTTCCTGTGTATGTTTGTTCAATAACCTACATTATAAAAATTACTAGGCTTTTGTAGATGCAATGTTGAAACTACAATCAGAAAGCTATGTCTATTAAAAGTCATTGCTCTTAACAATAGGACAAAGAACCTTAATAGGCAATTGGTTGAAATTGTAGAAGTGTTTTGAAGTGGACAGCAGTGAGTTCAGATCCATTTCCCATGGATAGTTTGAGAGATTCTTAAAAAATCTTAGGGAATTAGAACAGTTTGCAAAAAATAAAATTGGCCAGTGTTCCTGTAATGTTATTGTAAGAAATTAAGGCTGAGGCTAATACTTTACATGCTACCTGAACACCTGTAAATGCCCATTTCACAGTTGAAGTCATTATCTCCACCACAAAATATTCTTGAGACAGTTATTCATGCAACTTTGTGTGGACTAAAAGCCCTACCAGCTACTTTACTTTGCGAAGCATGCATTATTTAGTGGAGTATTATAGTTGAAGAGCACTTTTAAAGAACTGTTGAAAAACTGACAGTTCAAACTGCATAACCAGAATGCTGTGATTAGATGAGTCATGGTACTGTTTTGACCCAACGCAAACAATAAAAAACATTGTTTTGCCAAACTGCATCAGTCAAGACTGGCTGGGATAATTTAGAGGGAGTAGTTTAAATCTAGGTCTACATCTAGGAAGATACAATCATAACTATCAGCAGACTTTTCAGACAAGCAAGTTATGGATAACCCAGTTGGACTACTAGCTCAATCATTGTTGTGTGCTTGGAATAGGACCACCTATTTTTTTGATCAAACAGTAATATTTTTGCTAATCCATTTGGTGCTAGTGTTGCAGAATTTACACTGCTTTTCATATTAGATAAACTGTAATTCATGTGTGTTTTTTAAATCATCACCTTAATATCCTTTTCATATTCACAGACACCTGAAGTCCTTATGCATACCAGCTGTGAAGGTGCACCATGAATTGTGAAGAGCAGGGCATGGGGAGGGTAGTCCATTCCTGGGCCAGATTTGCCCCAGCTGGACAAACTGCCCTCGAAGAGGCCCTGAGGGTCTTTAACCCCATGTCCAAGGATCTGTCGGACACTGAGAGACAAATGGTGTCCTTTCTTCAAGAGCTGAGGAAAGAGGGAGCCAAGCCTGTGATTTTGAGGAGCAAAGATGTATATGGATACACGTCTTGCACCACGGAGCCAATCTCTTCCAAAATTGGCAGCAAGGTTCAGAGAGTGCAGAAACCTTGCAAGAAGCGAGGGCGGAAAGGTTTGAGCAAGTCCAAGGATGTGAATTATGCGACGCTCAGTAGAGCGGCAAAGGACATTCTCCAAAACCAACCCAAGATCCTGCTTACCAATCTCTCGGTGGACAGTCTTAAGCAGAACGTTGGATCGGCAATGCTAGATAAACATTCTGTTCAAGCGCAGCAGTGCCTCAAGCTAACAAACATAAAGGGGTTGACCGGAGGCCACACCGCGAGGTTGCAAATTCACTTTGAAAATTCTAAAAGCGCCCCCAGTTTTGCTCTGGGACGGCCACCGGATCTCTCCGGAATTCCGCACTCTCCAACGGAAAATGGCAGTCAGACATCAAATGTAGTTGCCTTGGACAACAAACGTGTTTTGTCATGTCCGTTCAAAGTAGACGATGCCCTTATTGGAGACTCTGCCCCAGTCGTCTATCAAAATGGTTTTGGTCTTAAAGATGGTAGCATTTATAAAAAGATCGAAACCGTATCAGGTAAACCTGATGTGATGACCAGTGGTCTGGACAATGGTTCAGTGAGGAGACTCCGTTTCCAAAGCTATAACTGGTCCCAGTCTACACTCACCAATGGCCAAGACGTTTCTAGACTGAATGGCAATGGTCTTGAATGGAAGGTTATAAAAGTAGATGATTCGGTCACAGACGAGGAAGTGAGAAGGAAGGCACAAAAAATCTTGCAGGTTAACTTGTCTCCTGTGATACAGATCCATCCCCTTGTTGACTCTGTATAGACTCTTGCTGGGGATTTTTTGTTTGTTTGTTTCCTCGTTTGTTAAGTTTTCTTGTTTTGCAAAGTTGCGTTTTGTGGAAACAAACCCTAGGTTATCTCTGGATGGGAGCATTGCAGTTACCTCCAAATTTTGCATTATCATCAAGTAGTTACTAACATCATAATCCAAAGATGGGATGCTTTTTTTCTGCTCTCACAGTATTTTGTTTTCCCGACACATCCCAACCTACTTTTCTTTTGTGTATTTTTATCTAACTTCTGAAGAATTGGACTGATGAACAAACCCTTATTTATGACTATGCAGTTCCCAGAATGTTCCTTGTGTTGGAATACTGCGGGCATGGAATGCTGTCTCACTGGATCATGGGAACAGACTGAATTTGTAGAGTCCTTGGCTCCTGCTGATGTCAATGCCACCCGGGGTTTTATTTTTTTATTTTTTTGACATCAACGTTTTTTGTAAGATGTTAGTCTGCCGGCATTGACTGCGTATGATATTTTTGTTTAGACTCTAACATGTTCAAATTGGGGGCACTTTTGCATATTAATTTAATTTCAGGGCAAAATAAATGGCCTTATACTTTGAGAAGAGTGAAATTTAACTGAATCTTTGTACTTTTTCCTTCTTGATGTACTTGTTTCTTTCTGCACTCCACTTCTCAAAAATTCCTCCAATGTTTCTTTTAATGTGCCAACCCTGTTTTTTTGTTTCCTTAGTTTTGTTGGTGCCATGACCACAAAGAATTGCAAAAAAAATGCTTCATTTTCTGAGTTCTCAGTATCCTGTCAAGAAGTGGACTTGCTTGTCCATTGATTGAACGTACCTCAAGCACTTGAATACGAAAATGTTGTCATCATTAATCTTGCAGTTAATATTGTTCATTCCATACATCTATAAGTTGGTTGGTCCATGTCACCTTCTACACATTTAACCAAATTCTGTAAATGACAAACTGATGTTCAATAGGATGGTTTTGATCCATCACTAATTAAGGCAACATCTGAAGGTAGCAAATTGGAAAAGGAAAAATTCATTCATGTTGTCTGTTAAATCTTGCTCAAGGTGTTTTTTTAAGGTCATTGTTCTGCCTCACCAGGATTCATTTGTTGAGGATGATTCATCTGCATAGAGCAATCGTTTTAAGGCACAACGGGATGAATGCTTGCTTTTTGTGCAAAAGGAGGAAGAGATATGGGAGAATTAAGTTGGAGTTCAGCAACGCCTAAGGCCTTTGGTTCAGAAGGTCTCATTCAAACTAAAGTAGAAGATGGCAATGCAGCAGTTTATTGGCGCCACAAGGCAAACATTTAAAAATTGTTATAAATTTAAGTTTTGAGTTAACCAACATATGGGTTTCATTTAAAAAAAAACTTTCACATGCAAAATACAAGCAGAATTTGGTTTCCTGTTAATCAGTTTTTATTTTCATCCAGTTGAATCTGTGACACTCAAAAGCTGTAAATGTCAGTGTTGTATCTTTAGTTACTGTTATCAAGTTGTGAATTAAAATCTGTTTGAGAAATGTTTGGTGTGGATTACTGGAGTCTCAGTGTTTTCTTTTTTTAAAGAACAGGCAACATTATTGGTGGAAAAAAAATCATGGCTCAAAGACATCTCCATTAGAGGTTTGATGAGGTCTAGACATAGTTGCATATTGTTTGGCCAATGCCGTTAAATCTCATTTCAGAAATGAGTATTTCCTGCTATAAAATCTGACTGGATAAGCCACGTTAAAAGCACTTTTGAAATAGCTAATGTGCTCACCAACAAACGGCACAAATTCAATATTATATTAATATGCCAAGTTGCTTGGCAACCATAAATGACTTGCTGTTTGGCTAATGAACTTGGCAGATGTTATTTAGCAGATGAATTGCTTATTGTGATTATTGTTACTAGTATATTTAATTGTTTATTGAACATTGGTGTGTGTTGCCATATTGATGTTGTTGCCACAGTTAAGAGGGGTTTTAGGCACCGTTTCATGAGCCGAACAGAATTTCTTAAGCATTAAAACCTCTAATAATGCTTGGTTTTTCCTGCCGTATTGCTGTGCAAACTCTGAGAATAATTAGTGTAAGATTGTTGCTTATTTTTACTGCTGTATCTTTGAACATTTTAGATGATGTTATTTATAGTACCTATAAAATATTTAATATTTTTTAACCATTTCTGTTTCTTAATTCAACCATATTATGTAATATTTGCCACACAATGGCCAGAAAAAAGAGAATCCATTAAAAGTCAGAAACAAATTTATTCAATCCTTTTGAATTGTTGGTCTTTTTTTTTTTTTTTAAATAATTGTTCTTTTACAATAATGCTCAAACTCCAAGTTGGAATTTAGAAGATGAACGTTTCTGTTTCTTTTCTGGTGTTTTTATGCAATGCAGCACCAGGATTTTTCTGTGCTTTGCCCCAGCCATTTTCCAGTCTTCCATCTTTGCAAAAAAGAAACATCCCTAAGACATAAGCTGCAACCAACATTCTTTTCACAAAACCAAATCGAGCAATGTAGAGCTTACCTTCAAGGCATGGACATTTTTAAAAGTCTGAGCCTGTATTCACTAAACATCTTAAGGCTAAAAGTAGCTCATACATTTTTGCTGTAAGAGTATTTCTCGAAGCGTTTTAGTGCTAAAACAAGCCCCTAAATCTGTGAAATGTTAGTAGTGAAGAGGACTCCTAAGTCACTAAGACCAGGGCTGCGTTCCAGTCCATTTTTTTATACCCTTCACTCGCAAACTTCCCTCCGTCTCGTTTACTCGGATGTACGTTATTGATTACGTTGCATGAGTGCCCACTTCTGGCAGAACCCTTGGAATGGGATGAACTAGAACGTCCTAAGCCCTTGATCACTTAGAATCAGCTATGTGAAGCAGACTCACTCCCTCGGTCAAACTTGAGGGGTCGAGGGTCTGTCCATATAAACTTCCCTCGTCCATTCCACAAAGTGGAATGCACTTCAAAATGGCAGTGGGGATTCCCCCGAGGGGAAGTGCTTAGGGAAGTACGCGAGTGCGTGTCTAAAAGTGGAGTGGAACGCAGCCCAAGCCACAAACTATTCCTAAAATGGCTGTTGCTGGCAATCTGCCTCGGAACGTAAACATTTTAGAAACATTTGATGATAATGAGCTTTTAAAAAGGTATATCGCTTTGGTGCAGCATTCTATATGTATATAGGTATGTTTGGGCTGTTATAATAATTTATATTCTGTTAAAATAATTTATATATTATAGAGTTGTTTGAGGTGGGGATAAATTAAACGCGATCTGCGATGACGTCACAATAGTGTTGCATTGTGGTCTATGGAGCGGCCTGAAGTGTGCTTATGAAGCAGACTCGCTCCCTCGGTCAAAATTGAGGGGTTGAGGGTCTGTCCATATAAACTTCCATCGTCCACTTCACGAAGTGGAATGCACTTCAAAATGGCAGTGGGGATTCCCCCGAGGGGAAGTGCTTGGGGACGTTTGAGAGTGCATGTCTGAAAGTGGAGTGGAACACAGCCATAGACACAGACCTGAGTGAGATGCAGAACCAAGCCACAAACTTTTCCTAAAACAGCTGTTGCCGGCAATCTGCCTCGGAACGTAAACGTTTTAGAAATATTTGACAATAATGAGCTTTTATAAAGGTATCACCTTTGGTTTTGGAGGTTATCCCAACTCTAAATTTTCCTTTGATTATATCCTTGATTTCATTAACCAGTTGGGCAAGAAGTAACAGCTGTTCTTGCATCAAGATTGGTTTTCTTTTATGTTTGCATGTATTACTATCAGCCATGATTATTCTACTTTGTTCATTAAAAGGCCGTTTACATGCATATCCGCTAATTGTTTACGAGAAGCATACATGTAAGAGGCTGGCAATTAGCTGAATATATACAGTCATGGCCAAAAGTTTTGGCAGTGACAAATGTTGTGTTTCGCAAAGTTTGCAGCTTCAGCTGTTGTGGTGTTCATTCACATTGTTTCTAGATTATTGTGTGATCAGATCAGATCAGATCAGCATTTTAAATAATTGCTAAAAGCTTCAGTGGCCAAAAAATGAACTTTTCACAAAAAAAAATAAATAAAAAGTGTTTTGATCCTGACACAAAATGACCAGCTAACATTAATTGACTAATCATATCAGCAGCACATGTGAAAGTGTGAATGAG